TGAAGTCTGCGTAAAATAATATGGAGGATAGATTGTTATCCAAGCAGAAAATCCCCCCTCTCCACATCACTGAAGTAGTCCAATGGAAAGGCAAGAGCCAATACAACTGGTTCCAGCAACATCACAGGAGTTGCCAGAGCATGATTGTACATAGTCACGAACTGCCTCCGGGACTCTGGCTCCTGATTTTGCCTCGAGGTTATCTCCTGAAGCCCTTTCCATAAGTGGATATAGCCACAAGGCAGTGGAAGTTTGAAATTGGACTTTTCCTTCTCCTAGATGGGCTGCCGTCTAAGGCTAACAAGCCAACCCTACCCGGGAAACATGAAATTAAGCCCGCATGATTGTACATAGTCACGAACTGCCTCCGGGACTCTGGCTCCTGATTTTGCCTCGAGGTTATCTCCTGAAGCCCTTTCCATAAGTGGATATAGCCACAAGGCAGTGGAAGTTTGAAATTGGACTTTTCCTTCTCCTAGATGGGCTGCCGTCTAAGGCTAACAAGCCAACCCTACCCGGGAAACATGAAATTAAGCCCTAACATGATATTAAATCACAGAGCCTATTGTTGTTGGAACCAGAAGTTAGTTTTAAGTATTGCCTGTTGCTTCAGTGGCCTGGAAGGTTCCAGTGGATAGAAATTACAGATTTTAATTAAACATTAGAGGACATTTCCCAATGGTAAGAGCTGTTCAGCAGTGGAACAGTCTTATTGGCCTCTCCTTTACTGGATGTATTCAGGCAGTTTGAACAGACATGCCAACAATGCCATTACTACATTTTACAGTAAGCAAGGAACTGACATGAATTACTTCCAAGGTCTCTTCTAATTTTACAACTTGGAAATAAAGTTGCTACAAAGATGTCTTTTACCTGCAGAGCTCTCCAAGAAAATAGGAAAGAATCTGGAGTGATTTTTCTATAATTTCTCTCCACATAAAGAAGTGGGGGATTCTGCAGCAATAAAATAATACAAGGCAACATTTTGAGTCCTCCAGATGATCACATTAGATGCCTTTCCAATCATGAATTTCATTTAGCTCCTGAACAGAACAGAGTGTATTCTCAATTTGCAAACTGTTTAGAATAGCTACAATTCATGCAGAAACCCCTCCCAGGCAAATGTCTTCAAATGAGAGTCCAGTTCTCTTTGAAAAAATATTAAAATTATGAGATCAGGATGACTCTCTGCATCTTGCTAACGCATTTGTTGTTGACAGTGAAACCAGCAAATAAACAAAATGGCTAATGTAACTGGGCAAGGGTGATGAAAGGTCACCATGGGGAAAGCAGAAGGGTTTTTTTAAGCATGCCAGATGAATTGCGTACCAGTCTCAAATGGTGCAGACATCATTTTTGGGTTGCATCACTAACAAACTGTGTTTGCAAGGTTCATCAGTACTAATCTAAGTAAGCAAATAACCCCAAAGAACTTTAAAGTGTTACACTAGCTTTTAAATAATAATAACAGTGTTTCACCAAGTCATTCTGACTTATGACAACCCTGTTTAGGGTATTCTAGAGTATTCAGAATGGTTGAGCATTCCTTCCTTATGGTGGCACCCTGGGGTTGAGCAGCTGGCTGGCTCTTCTCCTGGAAAGCACAGTGGGGAATTTGCAGCTGGCTGACTCTTCTCCTGCGAAGCACAGTGGGGAATTTGTTTATTTATTTTTATTCAAAACGTTTTTTTACCCTCCATTTGCTTTCTCCTTAAAAGGAGCCAAGACAGAATCATACTCCCGGCTTGTGGCTTTGGACCCAGATGCCTAACTCACTGAGCTATCCAGCTAACAGCTTGTAACATACAGAGGCTTTTCAAATATGACACTTAATCTCGTTATGAGAGCTCCTACCTGCTGAAGTCCAGAAACAAGTTCAATGTATGAACTGATAGCCGTAAAAATTGAACCTTTCAGGCACAATCCGCACACATAATCCTCATCTGACAAGCAGCTCTCACATGTTCCGGGGTGGTGGTTGTATATCCAGAAATGCAACCAATTCCAAAAACTTGTGTGCAGTGAGGGGAAGACCAGGATGGGACGAACAGCCCAAGTAAGAGATAGCACTGCCCTTGCCAAACTGCTCTTAATGCAATTGCGTATGGCGCTACAATTCCGCCTTTTCAGAAAAAAATATCAAAAATTAGTAATCCACCTCAGCCCCTATCACCATAGGACCTTCCAGTGAGTGTCTATAATTTATAATTCAAAGAACACACTAGATGTCGAAAGACGTCCTCTTTGAATGGACTACAATGCCCAGAATTATCCTGCCTAGTTGTAGGCTTCTGGGCGCTCTAGTCCAAAAAGGATCTCCTCAAAGCTTAGAATTATGCTTCTTGGAATTCTCCTACAGTTACATGTGCAGTCTAACAGAGATATGGGGAAAGTACTGCAAGTATTCTATGTGAGGCTTTTTGGGGTGGGCCGACAGGGATGCTAACTGTGAATGTACTGAGCAGCAAGGAGGTATATCATGGTTACACCAAGTCTTGAAAAAGACATCAATCCGAAGGGCATTTTCAGTTAAAATAATTACATTGTAGGATAGAAGAAAGGCTTCTACCTGAGACCCCGGATGAGCATTGCCAGCAAGACTGATTTTAAGGACATATTGCCTGATCTGATATAAGTCATCTTCCATGCAGGAAGTGATAGCCAACAGTTGGAAATGGAAATGATGTTCAAACTAACCACAGTGCAGGAGATGTGTAGGAAAGGCAGCAAGGAGAGAATCTGAAAAGGTGTTTCACAATTCCAAAGAAAGAAAAAAGGACATAGTTTTTAAGTGAATGGAAGGAGATACTCAGGATACGCCCAGGGAGAATACTGGTTTAATCGGGGATGCCAAGATCTGAGTAAGTGGATAAACCTTAGGACCGAAGTACTTACTGTACATAATATGCACTACTGCTTTTACTCAAAGCAATTGCAGCTGGGAGGGGAAAGAATCCTTACCGCCAATGCAGCATCTCTGTGTAGAGGTTTACTTCTTCCTTCTTCAGAACAATCAACACTAAAACTGTCTGCTACAAACCTGCTAGAATGTTTAGGAAGAATGGCTCCAAATGGCACCAATGGGAATTTGTTTCTCTAGCCATTCTAGCCAGGCTTGGGGTAGGAATATTCCAAACACCCCGGGGAGGAATGAGATAAGTTCCTGATTGCCTTGAGATGCTACACTTCTAATAAATAAGGTGGGGGTTCTTAAAGTAGAAATGGACACATACATGGCTCATTAAGTGTAACATGCAGTTTGCTTCTGAGATACAGTTCTAAACATGGTTGAGACTGAAAAAAGATTTTTTTTAGTTGTTTCCATCTACCTTGTTTTCCAAAGGAACAGCAAATCAGAAGAAGATACAGGGGTGTAAACTATGGTACCAATATAATAGCAGTCATGGAGTTCCTAAGAAATGTGCAGTTTTTTTTCTCAATAAAAAGATTATTAATGGAAGGCATGTATCTCTATAAGCAAACTCTAGATTGAACGTTACTAAGAAGCACATCAGTGATTAAACCCTACAAGCTTGACTGTGGCTCAGCATAAATTTATTTTCTGTATTTATTTAGTTTTTTTAAACTCCACCTTTCTCCCCAAAAGGACCCAAGGTGGGCATTTTAAAACATGGAAAGGTGGCTACATATCCTGCAGGTGCCTATGACTGAACTTGGCAACCATCAGATGGATCAGTTGCATGGACTAAGAGATTATATGGATCATTATGTTGTTCTGATAATGAAGAGTAACAGATGTAAAATTCAGCATAGTAATAAGGAAGAGCAAAGAGAAAAGGCAACCAAAAGCGACAGCTGACAAGTAATACAAGTGGCCCAATTCTACAGAGCATCATTTTCATCAGTTCCTCCCTACCCAACAGAGGCTTTCACTTCCCCACCCTCTCATCCCCAGTCATAAGTTACTAAGCAGTGGGATGATGTATAGCAAGCTTCTGCAAGCATTTGGTTTGAACTCAAGACTTAACTCAATTTGAACTCAAGCCTTTCTGAGCACTCAGTGGGAACCTGCAAAGGCTCAGACTCTTTGGAGGGATCTTACTTTCACTGTCATTAGGCTATCCCAACTATCTGGTGGGGTGACTGTCTGCTCATCTTGGGAATGATGTTATGGAAAGGGGAGAACTAGTGACATGTTTGGCAACAATGGAAATCAAGTCTACATGGCTCAATTGGAGTGGGCTGGAACTGGCAAAATAGGTTGCAGAGAGGTTGGGTATGTGATTTGGTGTGATCCTTGCATCCACATGGCATACACATCTCAAGTAACCCTAACTGGCCCACTTCCCTTTAGAAAACAACAAAAGCCTTTATCCTCCTCCTTCTGGAAGTTTTCAAATTTTGTAAAAACAAACAAACCCTTTTTTTCTTAAGATGTACAGCATACAGCGCTGTCCCAATAGCCTTTAAAAAGCAGCAGCAGCAGCAGCAGCAACACTTTTGCTTCCTCTGCCCCTCTATTTTTAATTTGTCAATGTCCTGAAGTGGCTAAGCTGTCTTCTTAAGCTATTAACAATACTCAGACACTGAAAGCAGAAAAGAAATTTAAAACTGCAAGCTCTGTTTTGGTTTGATCCCAGGGATCAAACACATTGGAAATGAACCAAAATGGACAAACCATACCCTTACCTAAAAAAATACAGTAGCCCTTGACAGGGACCCAGAGAGGTGCGAGTAGGAATAGTCTGGGGATGGGCTGGTTTGTGTTGGCATGTATGTCGTCAAGTCGCTGGCAAAAGGAACAAACCAGCCCATTCCAACAGGGGACCAAAAGGCAGGACAAATATCTGTAGTCACTCCCTGGTTGGTTACTGTCTACGAACTCCTGCTACATTTAGTGGATCCCTCTCATTGTTATGTTAGTATCTCTCTTGTGCTCTTTTTGTTTGTGAATTCCTTTGGTTTCCTTGTCTTCTCTTGTGAATAAAACAAGAATAAAGTACCACTCTTTAAGAGACTTTCATGCCATATGGATTTACCTGTTGAATGCCTGCCCAACTTCAGCATGCGCAGACCCCTTAGGAGCCTCAGCACCTGAACAATCCGCCCCATGTTTTCCAGCTCTTGAGAGCTGTGTCTCCCAGGCAAGCTCTCCACTAACAGAGTGATGTAGAAGGGCAAGATGGCCAGAAGGTCTATGATATTTGCTATGCTTCTCATGAAGAGGTATCTGTCCCGTGCACAGAGGAACCGAAGGATGAACTCTCCTGTGAACCAGGCAATGCACACATACTCCACAGTATTTAGGAACTCTACTGAGAGCCAGCTCAGTTCCACTGAAATGAGAGCCATGTTAGCAATAGAGATGATGACAAAGGCCATGGAGACAGTACCAAAAATCCTGGCAGTTAGAGACGATCCAGGTTTTTCCATTATCTCCCAAAGTTTCTGCCTAAAGCGAGGACACAGGCTTCCAGAGAAGTCCTCTTCTACGTCTTGGGCATCCATTTCTTCAGCATCTTTCTTGATGTCCAAAGATTCACTCAGTTCCTTCCGTCTGAAGTACCTGTGAAGGGCAGTCAATCACAACTATTGAGCTCCTGTAAGTCTACATGTAAAACAAAGAAAAAAACACATATGACACAGTTCAGATGCTACACGACATGTACAATGTCTGTAAGTGATAGGAAATGAAACAGAGCAGCACTGGTCTAAAAGAACAAAACAAAATCCAAAATCCACAGGTGGGCAATGCCTCTTGGTCAGGAAGACCAAGTACAATTTTGCAACAAGTGTACCAATTTTTGAGTTCTCCAGAACAGGATAGGTGGCAAAAAGAAAAAGAAAGGAAAAAAAAGGGAGAGACCTACTACAAGATGCTGCTATCTGAGCTCCTATCAGTATTGCATTTCCAGAGATGAGACCTATCCATTCTGACATCATTCTTAGAGTCATTCACTAACTCTGCACTGTCCATCTTGAGCTGAGTTGATTTGCAGAACCCAGGCTGAGAACAGCCAAATTTTAGAACCTCTATGTTACACACACACACACACACACACACACACACAAACACACACACACACGCATGCACGCACGCACACGCATGCACACACGCACACACACAAAGAGGACAAAGAAACTGTAGCCTAGGAAGAGATGAAATGTTGATGTCATAAGTAAAAGGGTGTAGCCATTTGTGGAACCTCAGAGGATGGGACTGGGACCTCAGGTGGTCCAGATTCAGCCCCAGGGCCTAAAGTTGCTTTGCTGATGAATTACTATAGATTCTCCATTACTGTTCCTTCAATATGAGTTACTGCTTAAATCAGCCACCGCTATGGCTCTCACTCCTGTTGCTACTTTGCCATAGCAGGAGGGGTTCATATCAGTGTCACTCAACCAACCATGGCATATACATTGGTAGGGACCTCACAGAAGCAGAAGACATCAAGAAGAGGTGGCAAGAATACACAGAGGAATTATACCAGAAACATCTGGATGTCCTGGACAACCCAGATAGTGTGGCTGCTGAGCTTGAGCCAGACATCCTGAGAGTGAAGACAAGTGGGCCTTAGAAAGCCTGGCTAACAACAAAGTCAATGGAGGTGATGGCATTCCATCTGAACTATTTAAAATCTTAAAAGATAATACTGTTAAGGTGCTACACTGAATATGCCAGCAAGTTTGAAAAACTCAGCAGTGGCCAGAGGATTGGAAAAGATCAGTCTACATCCCAATCCAAAAGAAGAGCAGTGCCAAAGAATGCTCCAACTACCGTACAATTGCACTCATTTCACATGCTAGCAAGGTTATGCTCAAAATCCTGCAAGGTAGGCTTCAGCAGTATGTGGACCGAGAAACTACCGTACAATTGCACTCATTTCACATGTTAGCAAGTTTATGCTCAAAATCCTCCAAGGCAGGCTTCAGCAGTATGTGGACCAAGAACTCCCAAAAGTACAAGCTAGATTTCCATGGGGCAGAGGAACTAGAGACCAAATTGCTAACATGCGCAGGATAATGGAGAAAGCCAGAGAGTTCCAGAAAAACATCTACTTCTGTTTCATTGACTACTCAAAAGCCTTTGACTATGTTGAACACAGCAAACTATGGCAAGTTCTTAAAGAAATGGGAGTGCCTGACCACCTTATCTCTCTCCTGAGAATTCTATATGTGGGACAGGAAGCAATAGTTAGAACCGGATATGTAAATACTGGTTCAAAATTGGGAAAGGAGTATGACAAAGCTGTATATTGTCCCCCTGCTTATTTAACTTATATGCAGAATACATCATTCGAAAGGCTGGACTGGATGAATCCCAAGATGGAATTAAGACTGCCAGAAGAAATATCAACCTCCTCAGAAATTGAGACAGAATTAAAGAACCTCTTAATGAGGGTGAAAAATGGTCTGAAGTTCAACCTCAAAAAACCTAAGATCATGGCCACTGGTCCCATCACCTCCTGGCAAACAGAAGGGGAAGATAAGGAGGCAGTGACAGATTTTACTTTCTTGGGCTCCATGTCCACTGCAGATGGGGACAGCAGCCACAAAATTAAAAGACACCTGCTTCTTGGGAGGAAAGTGATGACAAACCTCGACAGCATCTTAAAAAGCAGAGACATCACCTTGCCGACAAAGGTCCGCATAGTCAAAGCTATCGTTGCTCCAGTCGCGATGTATGGAAGTGAGAGGTGGACCATAAAGAAGACTGACTGCCCAAGAATGGATGCTTTTGAATTGTGGGTCTGGAGGAGGCTCTTGAGAGGCCCCTGGACTGCAAGGAGAACAAACCTATCCATTCTGAAGGAAATCAAGCCTGAGTGCTCACTGGAAGGACAGATCCTGAAGTTGAGTCTCCAGTACTTTGGCCGTCTCATGAGAAGAGAAGACTCCCTGGAAAAGACCCTGATGTTGGGAAAGTGTGAAGGCAAGAGGAGAAGGGGACGACAGAGGACGAGATGGCTGGACAGTGTCACCAAAGCTACCAACATGAATTTGACCAAACTCCGGGAGGCAGTGGAAGACAGGAGGGCCTGGTGTGCTCTGGTCCATGGGGTCACAAAGAGTCAGGCACAACTTAAGGACTAAACAACAACAACAAGAACAGAAACGGCAGAGTGTTTCTTATTTTCAAATCTCATTAAACTCAGTAGTCCTTAGAGATCTACTTTGAATTATCTGTAGATGTTCCAGTAAATTTTGACCATTCTGTCCACCCTTAATCTAAGCCACTCTACAGGATTTCTGCTAACTGATAAACAAGTGCCCACCTGTCTCTACAGCAGGAATCAATGCTGAGCTCATCCAGGCCCCAGTATTGGATCTCCTGCAGGAAAGAAAGTGCACACAGCTGATCCATCACATGCAGCCGTCCAGTCTGGTAATAGTTATGGATGTAGCTGAATGCTTGAGAGCTCCGGTCAAAAAAAAATTCATTCTCCAGCAAGTTGGCATCATCGCAAAGATCCAGAAGACTGGAAGCAACATCCCGAGCAGCTGACACCACCACGGCCAGTTTGCCAAGCCTTGTATCCGGGTAGCAGCAGAGCTTCTTCTGGGACAGGACAAACCGGGCCCCTCCGACATTGATGGTGATGCAGTCTAGAGATGGGGCCACCTGCTGCAACAAGGATCCTGTCTCCTCCTCACTGCAGAAGACACTGGACTCCAAAGATCCCAAGGATGAGCTCTTGCCCAGCTCCTCTGCAGATGCGCCAGACGAAAGGGAGATGCAGCAAGGAGGTGACTTCATTTTTCAAGTGCTGGCTTTGCCTTCCTTCTCGCTTCCTAGGAAAGAAGCACTCATTAAATCTGGAAAGCCCTCTTTGGGCCAAAGCAATGCAAATAAAAATTGAGCAGACGTTTTCAAGTTTTCTTTATTACCCCCAAGGATCTGCAGATATTATTTTCATTTGTCATTACGCTGTAAAGTGAAGACATTTGTGTGTGGTATAGTTTACTCACTCATGATGACTGACTGTGTGTGTGTTTTAAAGGAATAAAGGAAGTTTCAACTACTCTGTTTGCAAAAAGGAGGAAGAGGAATGAAGGAAGAACAAGAGAGATTTCAATTGGCCAAGATGTGGATCTTCTGTATTTTTGGCCCCTCAGATATAATGGGAGTTCAGTTTCCAAGGCTATAGAACTATGTAATTGGCAGTCCTGAACATTCGTTCTGCAGTAATGCCCAATATTCTATACCTTCTCATCCTTCGTCTGTGGTTAGCAGATGCACAGACTGAGAGCTTTTAAGATTTTATTAAGGTCAGTGGTAAATGTCATGCTTGAAATTTATATACCAATAAAGTGTTAATTACTCAGATTTTTGAATGCACTTTCTCTGGGTACAAACATTTGGGTTTTCTTGCACAAAACATGTCCTGGAGTCCTAAGACAGGGCTGGCTGAAAATACAACAGGATGCCCCTGATAGCTCTCTGGGAGATTTCAGGAGATTTCATACTTTTTAAATTAGTTCTCCAGCTTTGCATGGAATGAATCAGAATGTTTATGTAAAGAGAGATGCATATTCAGTTATTTGGATATTGAAAACAAATGATGGATCTCAGCCATGAGATCGCAAGAATTACAGGCCTTAATTCTACTAGACATATGCCTGCCCTGTTATTTGCTGACAAGTTGCTTTCAACTTAATGGCACCCCTCTGAGTTACTAGCTCTCAGATGGTCCTGTCATTTACACCTCTCCTAAGGGCTTACAAATTAAAAAAAACCATGGCTTCTTTATTGAGTCACTTTATTTCATGTAAGATCTTCCTCGCCTCCTAATTCTCTTCCTGGAATTATTGCCTTTTTCTTTCAGTTTCGTCTTATGATTTGTCCAGACGTGCCTGCCTTAAGCCACTCTTTTGCACCCAACTCCATCTGATAAATCTTGAGACTCTAGTAAAAAGGAGGACATGATCTGCTCCACCATGCTCTAAGGCACCAGACCACATATCCAATAACATCCAGAGTAAGAAAAAAAATCTGTTCCCCACTTCACCAGGCCAAATAATTTGCACAGAATTTCTATGAGACTTTAGCCTTTTAAAATGTAGAATTTCATGAGAAAGACTATGGAAACCCCCTGCCATATACTTATAACCCATGCAATTGCCTCTTCACTAAGGTGACATTTCTATTCACTTAGTAGTGCAGGTATCCTGTGTAGTTTGGAAGCCTGAATTAGGAGCCTAAGTGGGCAGACCTGTCTGCAGAATGGACCCACTCCCTGTGACCTCATCATTGGCTAGCTTCCCAGTTTCTAATATAGGACTGTTCTCCATTTTAAAAGTCTGAAGTGCCTCATATGAGACTTAATCATTGACAATGACATTGACATATAAGACTTAATCCACTGACACTGACGTTTCTTTTTCTTTTTTTGGTTCCACATTTTTGCTGCTGGCCATATCAATTCACTGGAATACTGCCCCTGAGAAATTCTCTGAAATTAAATTCAGCTCTTGGGCTAAATCAGTGTCATCACTAGAGATGGAGGGATTCGTATATGAATACGAATATCCCCTGCCAGTTCGACGGAGCCTTCCTATCATGCTGTTCTCAGCAATGGATTAGCCACCCCTAGTGGCTAATCCAGGTCACAGAGTGGCTAATCCATTGCGGACAATGGCGCAATAGGAAGGCTCCGTTGAGCTCGCATCAGCGGCAGAATGGTGTGGACAGTCTGGCCCCATGGGGCTGGGCACTCATTATTTCCACCTGTGGGGGGATATTCGTATACGAATACCCCCATCTCTAGTCATCATTTTTGTCCTAAGTGATTATATACAGTCTTTCATGTCTTCAATGTTTTTCTCTCCTGTTCCTATACTATCCCCCCCCTTTATCTTTATATATGGTCTGTGAGCCCCCTTGAGTCCTGCCATCTGGGAGAAATTCAGCATCCAAGTACAATAAAAAAATAAAGTATCTGAATTCAGTCTTTTTCTGGCTTGAAATGCAGCACCTTTCTCCATTTTACTGTCAAAACACTTGGGACAGTACTGGGGCAGTGATGTTTTCTATTACAGGCTGACCGAATAGCTCAGTGAGTTGGAGGTCCTGCCTGTAGAACCAGAGGACAGCAGTTCAATTCTGCATTGTGCCTCTAGGGAGAATGGCCACCTTGTGCAGCCTTGGGCAACCTGCTCAGTCCCACAGCGCTGCCCAAAGGCGGCACTGGTATAGACACATATATAAAAGCCCAGAGAAGAGTCATCATAAGCAAGATGATGATTTGATAACAAGCAGTTTATTTATTTATTCTATTACATCTTCACAGCCTACCTTACAGGTTAGGTTAAGCCGACATATTATTACAGGTTTGAACTGATTTTCAAAGGAGTTTAATTCACTGCATGGTCAACCTTCTGCACTTTATCCATTATGCCAGCTGACTTTCACACTGTGCAGCTTGTTGGAAGTAAGCACAGTTCTTATCTGGCATACCTAACTCAACATTATAACCTTCCTTCTGCTTATTCTTCAGACACAGTTCCTGGGAAATGCTTCTCCAGAAGTATGACTATTGGGTGCAACTACACCATGCCATTTAGGATAGTAATTCAGTAGTTGAGCAGACCACTTTTTGACTGCTAAGCATTTTTAAATTTTTTTAAAAGAACCACCTAACTGCTAGTCCATAATTAAAACAACAACATGATCCATTAGTCTAACTGCAAGCTCATTATGTTTCACTTTTGGGACTGGTTTTAAAAAAGGCCACTTACTCCCACCAAAATTTACCTGGGAGTAAGTCCCACTGAATGCAATGGGCCTTAGTTCTGTGGAAGCATGAACAGCTTCTACCATTAATCGTTACTCCTTCACCAAGAAATAAGAGCCTCCTTTCACATTAATGACACTTTAATAACTAGCTTATTTATTTTAGTCAGCCCCTCACATTCACTTTCTTTCAGCCTGCCCTTTTTAAAAAACATGTTCTGGATTTAAAAAAAAATCTCCTGGACCAGTGCAACATTAGATGCTTAATGATTAATAATGTAGAATTTTTATCAGGACTGCCAGTAATCAATGCACATTGTCAGTAAAAGCATGAAGCAAAGTTGGATGGAAATAACATTTAAAGTTAACATCAAGAACTGCTATGTACAGAGCACTAGATGTTTCTGACAGGCAAGTGTGAAGCAAGTCAGGGCATTCCAGATGGACAGCTCCAAGCTTGTCAGTTAAGAGGCATCTCACTCTGCTTAACAGATTTTTCTTTTCTTGGTTCAGAAAAAGGATGGGAGATTTAGGGTACGGTGACACTAGCAGCAGGGAGCAAACTAGTGTGGGCCACTTGGGGGCATCAAGCTTGATTAGAACCCTCTAACTATTCACACAGAAATGGCAACTTCCGATATGGTGAAGTGTCTCAATAAGTGAGCCACTTCAGGATATTGGATGGCAACTGCCGATATGGTGAAGTGTCTCAGTAAGTGAGCCACTTCAGGATATTGGTAAATTAATCACTCCCCCACTTGGCAGAGGGCAGGGGAACTGAAAAACGATTTTTTAAAAAAAACTATATATAGACTATTGTTGATGCTCTGCATCAGTTTTAAAAATAAAAATCATGAGATGGGAAAAAAGTTTTACATTTTGCCATGGATGCCGATATGGTGAAGTGTCTCAGTAAGTGAGCCACTTCAGGATATTGGTAAATTAATCACTCCCCCACTTGGCAGAGGGCAGGGGAACTGAAAAACGATTTTTTAAAAAAAACTATATATAGACTATTGTTGATGCTCTGCATCAGTTTTAAAAATAAAAATCATGAGATGGGAAAAAAGTTTTACATTTTGCCATGGATTCAAATGGAGGTGGTTTCTCAACCAGCCTTTTAAGATATAGCAAAGATTTTTTTTTGTAATGTTTTACAACTATGTAGTGCATCAGCAATAGTCTACACATATATATAGTCTACATATACATATAGTCATATTAATAGATTTTTTAAGATTTACCCTGTCCTCTGACAAGCAAGGGAAGTGATTAATTTGCCAATATCTTGAAGTAGCTCGCTAATTAAGCCACTTCAGGATATTGGCAAATTGGAAGAGAAAGGCTTGCTTCAGGTCATTTCCAGCAATCACACCTGCTGGAAACTGATCCCCACCAGAGTGATCCTACCCACACTAGAAAAATAGAGGCCTCTTGAGAGGGTGTGGAAAGGTGCAGGTAGGGACACTCTGGAAGTTGCCTGGTGCACTCTAGCAAAGATGTCATCTGAATGAGGACTTTAAGAACCCACCACCTCTTCCTGCCAGGCTCCAAGGAGCAGACTCTACAGCCTGTGTACTCAGCTTCTATATAGTGAGAAAACATGGGGGGTCAAAGCTGTGAAGGAGGGGAGGTGATTGTGTAGTTAAACTCTTAATCTAGACTGTGCATCGCTTCTGTTTTTTGTCTCTAGCAGATTTCCTCCGATAATTAAAGAGATAGAAGAAAGAGAAAGAGAAAACGTGGGATGTTGCAAAGACAAGGGAAGCCTTTTACATCCCTCCTGTAAATAGCTCATTCTGAGGACAAGATAAAAATGCCTGATCGGAAGCACCTAAAATCTCTTTGCGGAAGCCCCTCTGCCGGCCCGCGCCATAGGTGGCTTGGGGTGAGGCGCACCTCGGATGCCTCTGCGCACGGACAATCCGATCCTACGCTCATCTGTGCAAAAGACAATTCCTCCCTTTGCAACGAACCTCCGGAGTTCAGTTTATTTTAAAAAGAAGTGACACCGACCACCGAAAAGTTGGTTCAAACTGATCGTGCTTAAAAAGA